TTCTTCTGAGCCACGTGTCGCATAATAAAGTATGTTTTTTTTTTCTTATCAACAATAACATTCACTATTCCTTTACTCACCTATTTTTAACTACCAGTCATTCATAATAATTATTCATTACATTTTTACATCACATCAACTTTAATTATCATATTTAAACTTATATCCACTCAAAAACTCAAATCCAATCTTTTCTTTAATCATCATATTTAAACTTATATCCACTCAAAAACTCAAATCCAATCTTTTCTTTTAATAAAAAAAAAAAAAACAAACTTAAAAAACAAAGAAAAGAGAACAAATAACAAATCGAAACGGCCGTATAACCTTTTCCATGGGCTTTTAAACTGTAAAATGTTTGGGCCGATCTATAGAACTTCCCCTCTTAACCGAATTTACGGTGTTGCCATTGAGTGTGTTGCCATTGAGTCGTTGACAGTGACAGCTGTGAAGCGACTCTTCGCCGGATTCAAGCATGTCATAAAAAATTTCGCCGTCGCCGCAATGGCGGGCCGCGTCCTTCTCTCAAGGACAAAGGTTGTACTTCCCTTAACTTCCTAATTTAATACCCCGATCCGCCATCTTTAGCCTAATGGCGACGCTTTCACTTCACACCGACGGCAAACAAGGTCAATTTCACCCAACCGCGCATGGGGTGGCGCAGCATGACCCTTACCGTCGGATTCCCGTCGTCAATGGCCCCGGCTTCATCAGCCAAGAAAACGCCTCTAAGATGAAACCCCTCCTGAAAGTTGGGGACCCTGGTTTGCAATTTCACTAAGAAAAACATTATTTTAGTTCCTTTTCTGTATTTTGTTGTGTGAATTTTACTGGTGGTGTTGTGCAGCAATTGTCAGGTAATATGTGGATTGGATTTCTAGTGCAGTTATGAATTTGTCTGCCTTTTGTGTGTTTTAACTAGTGTATGATGTGTGGAAGTTAGCATCTTTTCGCAGCGCTTTGCTACATAAAAGAATTTGGATAAGGAAAATTATATATGTCTCTGAAAAAATCTTTTACTGGGATTTTTGTGTTTTGGGTACCAATGCAATTTTTGATTGTGAAACGTGGTATCGTATGCATAACTGATAGAACTTGAGCAAATGTGATACTTAGTTTACGTGTAGCCTACAATGTGTCAAGTTATCTAATCATATGTTCTTGCCTCTTGGTGCTCTTGAGTCTGAAAAATTATACTTGTGATCGTGTTGTTGGTATATGCCTTTTGGTTTTAGTGTATTTCTAGTGATAAATATTACTCTGAAAAAAAAAAATCAATAAAAAAATTGGTTTGTAGATACTTCAATTAATACTAATGAAATATAATTGACTCGTAACCTAAAACGTTAGTCAATTTTTATTCGGTAATTCTTGTTAAGTATTCAGTTAATTCATGTTGTTGAACATCAAGAGCTTCTTCACGTTATTGAGGAAAATGTTTGCAATCACTAAATGAGAAAGTGATTATCAGCTTTTAACTTCGGAATTTTATTTTTTCGGCAGTTTCATATCCAAATTTGAGTTACGAACTAATGAGCACTTGACAAACCTTTTCGTCGGACATTCTCTTTTAATTAAGATAAGTTTATGTTATTATCACTTTCAACTGATTCCACTTTTAGCTTCAATCTACAAACGAAAACCAAATTCTCAACTATGACATATTGGAAAAAAATATTATTCAGCATACAGCAGGAAGATGTTGAAGATATCTCAAAAGGTGATGATGAGAATAAAACAGATGTTCAGCATAAAATGAAAGCAGTATATGGAAGGATTTCTTGGGAAAAATATGCTTGTGAGGAAAAGGAAGTGATTTTTCATCATGGAGTCAAAATTCCATTAACTATATTTTTCTCCAAAAGTACATATCAGAAGGGTGGATAAGCTTTTGATAGAAGCTGGTTCACAGATTGTTTCAGCTTGCTCGATTTAGGATGGATGTTTGCTTTGCAGATATGAGGTATATTCCATGTCATTATATTCTATTTTAGAAAATTTCTCAAAGGACTAAAAATATGATATAGTTAGTATATTGCAAAGTAGTTCTGTAGATCCTTCTGTATTTGGAAATAATTTAATTTGAAAAGCAACCTTTGCATTCTGATTTGTGGATACGGCGTTTTCTTAGTACTCTTAAGTAGCATTTTATAGATGATAGTACAATTTATGCTTTTGGATCCGAGTTTACCTGTTGCCACATCAGATAACGTAGAACTGGGGAATCCTCAGAATGAGTCATGCTTTGACTATATATGATTGTACACTGCTTATGAAATGATTCACTTGTCATCCTGCAGATGAACATAAATGGAGTGCATTTTGGGGAAGGTGGTTGTTTTTCGTTGTATGAACTGAACGTTATGGCACAAACTGATGGAAGTGCCAAAGGGAAACAATTGCAGTTTACATGGATTCAAAATCCTACCGATTATCTCTCTCTCTCTCTCTCTCTCTCTTGGGGTATGGTTTTCATAATCTAGTGATTGTTTTGAGGCCTTTTGTTCTTTTTCCTATAGTTGTAATTCATTTCTCTAGAGGGTTAAACTTTGAAATACTGTGATGCAGACATTTGGAAAAAAAAATAAAAAATAAAAAATAAATTCCTGGTTGCTATATATGATCAGCTAAATACAAACATCCTATAATTTTGAACTACATACATACACCACAAGGAGGAAATGAATGTACTAGTGAAGTAGGCAAAAGCTCCCATTTCCCTAATGAGTGAACCAAACTTCAAGGCTCCAAAAGTTTGATAACTCAATCTTACCACTCACACAAAAGCCAATTAACTATTGAAATCCAAACTTTAAGGTAATCCTATGGGCATGAACAGTAAATGTCTCCTTTCTCCTCTATTGTTTCTAACTTTGTTTTCTTGTTCCTTTTTACCTTTTTTTTTTTTTCATAACCGTGTGTGAGGTAGCCTAACAGTTTAGTAGGTTGATCCGTCATACTTTATATATATTGTCTAATTGTTAGGTTTGCCTAACATCACTTGATGCCATACGAAGCCGAGCATATGACTTGGATAATAATGAACCATCCCGAAAGACAAATCGAAACCACTCTAAATTGAAAAATAACTGTTGTTGATCGTTTGATTTTCTCTGAATTGAACTAAACCGACAAAATAATCAGAGTACGGTTTGGGTGATTTCATAAATGTGTGCCGAGAACCAATTGAACCATTTCTACCATACCGTACGAAAGAACCAAAATTAAGAACCACAATATAACACTACATGTGTCTTGTTTATTATATTAAATTTAGTCCTTTATAATCTTATTTTTATGAAATTACTTAATATCATATATTAATAACATTTAGCCTTCACTTAAATTTCATACTTAATAATCGTATTGTATAATTAATATTTTTTTCAAATTTTAACAAATTATTTATATTGTATTTGTCGCTATTGGTCTTACAATTATTTCATTTTATAATTAAAGTTTCATCGAAAGTTAGAGAAATGTATTTTTAAAGAAAAACTATACTATATCTTGTTAGGATTTCAAATATTTAAGAATTTAGTCTTAACTAAAATTTTAATATCTTATTATACTTTCTAATTTGAATTCAAAATAAAATTTTTAATATTGTTAAATAATTATGAATGTCGGATTTAAAAAAGTATTTGTAATTTAAAAAAAAAACAGATAAAATTTAAATATAACTAGATTTCATTAGAAAAAATGTTTAAAATATAATACGAAGTCTCCGTGGCTCCGATCAGTATCGAACTTATCCGAATCATTTTGATAGTCCCGAAGTTTGAATCGAATGGAAATATAAAAATTTCCAAACCGAACAATTCCGATCTTAATAAGAATTTGAAAAGTAAATTTTAATTATTTCCGAATTGTAGTACGGTTCAGAAAGTTATGAATTTTTGAATCGTATTTACTCATAGGCAATAAAATACCCATTGTGCTCCACTTAGTAATTCATAAAAGCTTCTGTATAGTCTTGATTCAACTAGAACTGTAATTGTGGAAACTTCTTTGGGTTGGTGGACATGATTTCTCATATTCCATTTAATTGGGGATTACTTTGAAGTTTTAAATATCAACAATTAAAGGGTTGTTTTTCAACTGGCAAAGTTAAGAATCCGAGATCTTTAGTCTTGAATTTTGCTTCACTCATATTAGAGGGTCTTTAGAAAATTTAATAATAATAAATTGTTTCTTTTCTTAGATGTATTGTCATGTGGTTTAAAGTTCATTTAACATTATTTAAGAAATAATTAAAATAGTTTTAATTTGAATAAGAAAAATTATAATAAATTAATTTGAACTAGATTGAGAAAACTAATTGTTTTTAATTCTTTTTGAATATTTTAAGATAATGTTGCTTATAGTTATAAATGAACAAAAGTAAATTTGTATTTCAAACAAGTTGATGGATTGCATATAACTAATTAAGAATTCACTAGATGTTAACTTTGTTATTATATAAACCATGACAAAGATATACCTTCAGTCGCATAAGATATGTATCGGGTGCCTAGTAGAAAAACCCTACATATTATCGTAAAAGATATGAAGTATGTCGAGTAAGATATTTAATAATAAAAAAAAATGGTCAAGTGGTGAATTATTTAAGGGCGTCTTTAGTTATTTTACCAATATTTAACAGTTATGTGTATATACTAAACCTCCTCCCAAACTTTATCCACTATATAATAGAATGAAGTTTGGATTGGAAGAGAGTTGTACCAAGATTCAATTACTGTCTACTATTAAATATTTTTTTTTTCTTTTTTTTATTGTATTAGGGTATTTCACTCGGAATGCAGATAAATTCTGTTTCTTCTTTCAACATGGGATTTCGAGTCATAACAGTATTCCTTATTTATTCATGATGATAGATATATAGCATGAATACTTGGTTTATTAAAATCTTTTTTTTTTTTCTTCTCTCTCATATGCAAAAGTTATGCATGGCCCCATGATAATTTAACTAAGTAGGAGAAGAAAAAGAAGAGAGATTAATGATGGATGAATTGAAGATCCTTAGAAAGATGATGAAAAACGAGGAGAAGAAGATGAGGCAACGAGTGGCTGCTCGAGCCCGAAAGGCTCGCTACTGGGAATTCCTTGCACGGGCGCTCATGACTATTGCCCTTATTTGGACTATAATCATTCAGTTGCTGCACTTTTCCCGCCAGCCCTCAAGTGAGTAAGTTTTTCACTAGGAATTAGGCTTTACTTTACTTTTACTTTCTTTATGTTTCTTCACTTAACCAATAACATAGCATAAGCATAGGTGCTAATTGATTGTTCAGTAATTTTCTCCTTTACTTTTNTAGAAATAAAAATAAAAATTCAATTACTCCCACAGGCTTTTCGAAATACTATAAACAACCCCAACTTTTCTTTTCTTCTACCTATTTGTAATTTGTAACTGTCAAAACATATATGATGTCAACAATGTCTGTTTTGGCTGTTGGCTTCACTAATGCAGCAAATGCTTTGATAGTTATTTTCCTAATTATGCCAAACCTCAAAGGTTGTTTTTGCAAATACATATTAATCTTTTACTCTTGATCTAAAATTACTCATGCAGATATGTGACATGGTAGCCATTGCAAGATACATGAATGCCACTCTTGTGATTCCTCAGCTGGATACCAAATCTTTCTGGAAAGATCAAAGGTTGCTATATTGGGGGAAAATACAAAATTTCCCAAAATAATACTCATACAAACTTTACCAGACAAACATAAATTTCAGAAGAAAAAAAAACATAATTTTTGTTTCATGCAGTCAATTCGAGGATATATTCGACATCGATCATTTCATAAACACCTTGAGGGATGAGGTCAAAATTGTAAAACAACTTCCACCAGAAATGAAGAAGATGGTGGAAATGAAAAGACATATTTCCATGCAACCTGCTAGCTGGTCCAACATATCATACTACACTGACCAGGTATATTCTTCTTCATCCTTGAACTTGAATAAATTACAAAATCATCCTATTTGTGTCTGCAAAATACAAACATATATTTTTCCATGTTGTGTAGGTTCTTAATGGAGGCCTCAAGAAGTACAAGGTTCTGCATTTTCAGAAAACCGACTCAAGGCTAGCAAACAATGGACCTTTGGAGGTTCAAAAGGTTCGTTGCAAGGCGAATTATGAAGCCCTGAAGTTTACGGCTCCAATCGAGAAAATGGGGAAAAAAATCGTGAAAATGATGAGACAGAAGGGTAAATTCATAGTCCTTCATCTTAGGTACGAAAAGGATATGCTTGCCTTTTCAGGTTGTAATCAGGGCTGTACTAATAAAGAAGCAAAGGAACTGGAAGTACTGAGGTGAGATTTTGCAAAAATATCCCAATAGTTTAGTTCAATTACAGAAACCCCAGTTATCCTTCACATTTACAAGCATACCCTTGGCGAGTATTTTAGGGGGGCATTTGTAGTATTGGTGCAAGATAGGATTTTTTTTATATTTTTTATTTTTTTATTTTTTTTTTTGTCATTTATCGTTCTATACCTATTTTTACAATGTTCAAGATAGCAATTGTTGTAAGAATTTTTACAAAGTAGAAGATGGTGAATTTTGTAACAAAATGTGTCATTTAAGTAATTTTGACATGTGATATCAGATATTCAATTCCATGGTGGAGGGAGAAGAAAATAAATTCGACCTCAAGAAGATTAGCTGGTTCATGTCCATTGACCCCTGAGGAAACTGCATTGACCCTTCAAGCATTGGGCATTGACCAGGAAATGCAGATTTATATTGCTGCAGGAGATATATATGGAGGAGAAAAGAGATTGGCACCGTTGAGAGCAGCATACCCAAATTTGGTTAGTCAACAAAAGAAAGAAAAAAAAAAGTTAAAATCTCTTGGAAAAAATTTTCATGAGTAGTTGCTATTTTTACTATATCATCCTAATTCTTAACAGGTCAAGAAGGAGACATTGTTGACACCCTATGAGCTTTTACCTTTCAAGAAGCATGCATCCCAAATGGCTGCATTGGACTACATAGTGTCACTTGAGAGTGACATATTTTTCCCTACTTATGGAGGTAATATGGCAAGACTAGTCGAAGGGCATAGAAGGTATTTTACTTTATTCCCTAATTTTTCCCTAAATTCTTCCGAAGGAACTTAAACAAACCATTTCATGTTTTTTTTTTTTCCCAATTGTCTATAAGTTAATTGCATGATTGGGTTTTCAGGTACCTAGGATTCAGGCCCACCATACAACCTGATCAGAAGGCATTGGTTCATCTAATAGACAGATATGAGAAAAATAAGAACTGGCATGAGTTCGAGAAGGGAGTGAAGAGAGCTCATAAAGGTCGATATGGTAATTCTGCAAAAAGAAGAGTCATACCTGGAAAGCCCAAAGACGAGGACTTTTTTTGGTCTAACCCTGAAGAGTGCTTAGGACAAATATAACAAAAAAAAAATCAGAATGACCAATGTGAAAAACCTTCCATTGGTGTTGTACATGGCATAAGAGTGCTTAGGATCCTCTTGCGAACATTTCAAGTCCCAACATTATATTACACCAATGCCTTTTCTTTTCTTTTTTCTTTTCAAATCTGAAAGGTCACATAATAACTTGGCAAGTGTACTTTTCTAATATAATAATGGTAATGTGAGCAAAAAACACACAGTTGTACAACACATATTCCAAGCATAGACAACTGATAAAGCATTCTGTTCATGAACTTCAAGTTCGATTTTGCATTTCAAACTTATAGTAACAACCAATGATAGTTTTCAATAACGTCAATAAGATGACTAATACCTATCCACCATCGCGTAGATGTGAAAGCAAACCATTTTATATGAACATAAGTGCGAAGGAACATATTGAAAAGCAAAAAACTCAAGAAAAAGCTCGTGCATATACAAGGATCAAATAGTTGGCCACCAGGTGGAAACTCACTCAGTTGGAAATGAAGCTTTGTAGCCAGTCACAAAGTACTATTCTTCAAGTCTTCTGCCTTTTCTGAGCTAAGTAAAATATTCTTCAAATCTTCTGCCTTTACTGAGCTAAGTAAAATATTCTTCAAATCTTTTGCCTTTTCTGGACTTCATCTAAGTCTTCACTGTTGCTCTTGTCTTGAAATGTTCCACCTGGTAGGTCTCCAGAAGGCATAGAAATACATTGATCCTATATAGTAAGAGATAAAATAGAACTTTCAGTCAAAGAACATGTACAAAATTGTAAATTGAAACAAATGTCGAGGGAATATATATACACTATTATTCTTTGTAGTTAAACTAATCCTTAAGTTGATCTTTTATAAAGTATAACTATATAGTATGCCAATTGTTGGCTAACATGCAACATACCTTAGCAATTGATCCTCTCTGTGCTCGTTTTCCAAGATTAATCTGAACTGATATGCTGGCTTCAGACAAATCCACACCTGTGCTCTGTAGTGCTTGTGACAATGAATTCAGTAACCTGATCATGATCCATTCCACGATTATCTAACAATTGATGCTAAAACCTAATGTGTTGATTAGGCTTTTAGAGTAATTACCAGTAAAAATCCAAACTTCCAAACTTACAAAAAGCACCTTGAGGTTTGATATGCCTTAATTTAAGGGGGGTAAGCATAACACATGTCTAAGAACCCAAATCAAAAGCATTTTCCCTTAGGGTGTGTTTGTATACAAATTTTCTCAATCCATATTCAATTCAATTCATACTCAAAATCTAACTCAACTCTATTATCCTCAATATTATCAATATAATTAAATAATACCAACCATCCATTCTTTCACATCACTTCAACTTTAATTACTATTTATCCACTCACATAATTTTAATTAACCATCACTTCACATCATCTCTCTCCTACTTCTACATCAAATCAACTTTAATTAGTTTATTTTAATAATTATTTTAATATAAAATAACTCCGCCTATGTTGTCTCAACATAGCAGGTCCCAAGCCCTGGTAAAGGAAGAGGGTTGTGATAGGCTTGGCGAGCCAACGTAAAAACCTAGCCGTTTTATGGAGATGAAACACATGAGAAATTCGTTGGGGCGTAACGTTTTGAGCTCCTTTTTGTGTTTCCCTTACCATTGGCTCTCTTGGGTTTCATCTCTAGCCTACCCCAACTTGCTTGGGACTAAAAGGCTATGTTGTTGTTGTTGTTGTAATTATTTTAATATAAAATCAAAATTCCACTAACAACTAACCATACCAATTTTTTCAAAATTAACTCTGGTTAATAAAAAAACTCATTTTAAATGGATATATTTATATACAAACACACCCTAATTTCAAAACTGCTATGGGTTTTCTTTGTAATTACGCCAAATATTTTTCCATGCAGTTACTATATACGCTCACCCTTGGGAGTAAACACTCGATATGCTAATTGTCCCGCCCTCAATCATCAGATCATCTGGGAGGTTCATAGCATCAGGACATTCAGTCGAGTGTGAATCCGAAAGTGGGTCCCCAGGCCCATGCAACGTATTCGAGAATGGGCCATCATTCTCAATGGAAACAGGCGTGGTCCCTTGCAGAAACACTGGGCCCATCGGCCTAAACGGGCCACCCGTACCGTGTTCGGGCTCGATGGGCTGGTTATGCAGGCCCGGTTGCACGGTTGCTGGGCCCGCAGCACTATTTTCATCGAACCTGATGGGGAATGCAGGATCAGACCCATTTTTGACAGTTGGCGACTGGCTTGCAAAATTTCGCCAGTGACTGTTTCTCTACATCAAGTGGGAAAAGGAGATGAACTTTAGAAATTGAATGGATTGGTTTTTTTTTTTTTTTTNTTTTTTTTTTTTTTTTTTTAATTTGGTCATCTTACAAGGCAAGTAACTGAAGTTGGATTAATTGCTTAGGGTAATAATTCGTAAAATCAAAATTAAGAACTTATTTTACAGGAAAAGGCAAAATGCCTACCACACAGTAAAACTATTTTAGTGTATGAACTATAGAAAAAAATTACCTATATGGTACATCACAATCACATTTCTGCTTTTGACCAATTTTAGTTCATTTGGGGGTTTTATGACATTTCTAGTTTAATTAGTATGACATTTCTAGCTTGCCAATATAGCATATTCTTGAAGGTTTGGTTCAAAATGATCAATTAGTATGACAATTCACCATAGAAGTGAGATAATTGTTTGATCGCTAATGCAAGGTTTCCATCAGGCAGACTAACAGCAACCCCAGTACACACCCACTAGTTTAATTAAGTAAACCATCAATTTGGATCTATGTTTCACGATTTTCTAATAAGAGATATTAGTAAAATGAATAAGTTATAGGATGGTGGAATCTACTCACGTAACTACATGTCGTAAAAGAATACAATTTTTACAAAATAAAAGTAAGTTACAAATAACTAATTACATACCTACACCTCCCACACACTACACATAATAACACAATAAAAGTAAGTTACAAATAACTAATTACAATTTAATAGAGTATAGCATGAAAATATTTTGAAGATATAGTATCAAATAACTAAAATGAATTATCCTACCGTTTATTGGAAATGCCATGAGGGGAATGGCTCGACTTTGAGTATGGCTATCAATGTCATCTACTGTTCTATAGAAAAATAAATATAACGAAGTCCATCACCTAAAGAATATGTAAGCAAATGTACAACTTAAAGTTGGATGACAAAATATTACCCACGGCATCAGTTTTACAGGCTCTGAACTCCAAGGCTGATATGACCCCTCATACCTATTGACCTTTTCCTGTAAAAATTGCACATACTCAATCACCTGCATAACAAATCAACAGTCAACAATACCGAAAAAAATTAAAANTCAACACTCAGCAATATGTTTCCAAGCATTGGTGGATCCAAGTAAATACATGGTGATGCATCAGCCCAAAACATAAGAAATATCAAATGGAAAGGGACAAAACAATTTATTGTGATTTGTAACCACAACTAGTACAAGCAAAGCAGCCCCAAATCCAAGGAAAGAGGAAAAAAATTTGGCAAGATGGTTCTAATGCCCCAATCTAATTCTTCATAAATATTAGAAATTAAGAGATTGCTTTTTTAAGTTAATTGTTAATTATTAATTAAATCTTATGAATTATGTAGTTATTATTCATACTACTGTATGTTGTTGAACATATGGGCATATGAGGATTTCTTTGTGGATTTTACAAGTAAGGACAAGAGAACAAGTTTTGCAAATTTATTAATCACCATAACCAAAAAGTTTGTCGGATGAAGATTATAGTAGAGGGATATATCGAGTTTACTTTCTGAAAGAACAAGCAAATTAAATGAAACCAAAATAAGCCTCAAAATTATGGAGGTGAAACAGATGTTGCAACAAGTACAATTCCTGAGACTCGAGCAAACAACATTTTTGCGTACAATTTAGATGTATTGCTGAAATTTAGAATCAAATGTAACCAGTAAAATACAGAAACAACCTTGAGGATTCTAATTACAATGCACAACTATATTTTTTAATCACCTACACATCTTTTCGTAAATTCACTGTTTCTATTTTAGAAATTACTAGCCGAGGATCAATTCATAAACAAGTGCAAACCTCAATGATTAAAGGTTCATAATGCAAATGGGTTCCCCGTAACTAGGGAGAACCTTTCCCTCAAGGGTAGAGTCGTAAATCACCATTACTGAATTTATATACCTCTAACAAAAATGATGCTGTGTCTCTCTTCTGATCACTGTGCGGTATCAGTTCCCTAAGAATCGAAAATCTGAAACATGCAAGGAACATTGCTTCGGTTGAGCACGAGTATTTTAAGGAACTTAAATAATTTGTAAATTCAAATCACAAAACCATAAAAGCATTCATAACAGGAATAGGTGATGCTTCACATGAAAAGGTCATTTGATAAGAATAAAGGACAAGAAACTTCACACGCCAATAAATACTCATGAAATAGATAGCAAACAAAGTTGGCCAGATGATAGACTTGCAAAAGAAACTACCCATATGAAACAGTACTCCCACAATCTTGGCAGAGATTAACAAGTGCGAGACAGTTAATTGTTTATCATGTGTTATAAGGTTGTTTTTGCAAACACTTAATAAAAATGAAACTTCAAAAAAAAGGAGTGTTATGCCATCTCATGCTTCTAACTCTGCATAACTTAGTGAGAATTTAAAAGCAAGGGGAGGTAGATTTCTGGCTCCACGATTAGTCTTACTAATGTGCAATAAAGTAATAAACAAAGCACTTTCACAAATTATACAACCAAGCAATTTTTGCAGTTCATACAACAATCTATCTCCATGTGAAATGGAGATATGTAGACTTTTCACGCGAATTTTTGGCAATGAGTAACAAAATCAGTCTTTTATGGGGACTCCCTTTTTTAGGAGCAAAATTCGATTCTACAGGACCTTTTCTGCAACACCCGTATAGCTGAAGGACTTAAAATTGCCATTTGGCCAAGTAACTTATTCACCTCTCATTGATCTTGCTCCTCCTCCGCTGCTCAGTAACTGAGTGTTTCGACCTTATAGCACTAGCTTTATCACTGTTCTTCCCATCTGCTTCCACCAAATTCATACAAAAATTAAAGTGATTCCAAGTCCAAGGACATTAAAAATAAATAAAAAGATGACATAATAATTGAAAAAAAAAATGAACACACAAATGACTGTGTACCTTTTGAATTATTAGCAGATGGCGAGACGTCTTTCTTCGAACCAAACTCGTCTTTTTCCTCCCCTTCGTCTTCTTGAGGAGGACCTTTTCCGGATTTCATTTTTTTTTTTTCTTTTGGTTCTATAAATTCCAAGATCGAATCTTTTTTTCACCGACCAAGGAACTGCAGAATTTTTTTCAGTAATTGAACAGACCCACAAAATCTAAACAAGGGGAACAACCGGAAAATGTAAAATTTACACGCAGAGATCTACTAAAAACGTACCACAGAAAAGAANAGCTTTATATATTTAGCGTTTTTTTCAAAAAAATTTACGCGAAATGCTGAAATACCATGTTTTTTACGCTATTTTGCGTTATTTCACGCTATTTTGTGTTATATTTCTGCAGCAACATTTAAACAATAAAACATTCAAAAAGCTTGCATTTTTTAGGGTTAGAGTTATATTTTTAAATGCCTAAAAACTAAAAATTTTGTTAATGATTTCAAATTAAAAGTTTGAAAATGCAAAGTCCTAAGCTGAATAGTGCAATATATATCGGTTCATGTCTATTATATCATTATCTTTTTGGTATTTGAGATTTAAATTTAAGAATAAAAAATTCAGATCTAGTGGTTAGAATTAAATTTTAATTAAATTAAAAAAAAATAATTATAACGTATATGCTTAAAATTAAATTATGACTTATCTTATTATATTTTTATTTTTTTTTTACTTTTTAGTATATTCTCTTTGTTATTAAGTATTTATATTATGATATTTACATTAAACGTTTGTAAGAAATAATTCTTAGATGTTATTTTGAGTTCATTCAAATGTTATGATAATTTTTAGAACCAACTATCCACTTTTAATATATGCAAGTATATATAATATATTTCTATAAAAATAATTTTTTATACTCAAATAGCTTACGCAACAAGCAACGCTACTTATACTACGCAGTATAAAGACTAAAACGTGATGCATTACGCTATAAGCGTTTTAAGACAATGCTTTGTATATATACATTTTTTTCTCAAATGACAGATACTATAGCATTCAAAACGACAGATACTAATGTACTAAAAACGACAAATACTATAGCACTGAAAAATGTACAGAGTTCGAGGGCTAACTAACCCGAAATGCCACAAAGCACAATGAGGATCTCAAGTGAGCATCCAAAGAAGAGCAAAACAAGAGTAAGAGGCTAGTCATCGGCAATGATATAACAAAAAGCCCGGTCACTAGACCCCTACTCCATGCCACAAAACCAACACATAAGAATAACTACACCCGCGACAACAAAATTAACTTAGCACTGGTCAAAGAGGACCCTAGCAAGTTAACAAAATAACTTAGAAACAAAGCAACAACTAACTACAGAGAAGAAATAGCACAAGAAAATTCAGTCCAATCACTAATAGCAACACTAACAATCTCGACTTCTGATCTTAGAATGTTGCTGACAGCCCAAAGGTTATGGGTTTTCCACATCCACTAGAGCAGAAAAGGTTGATAGATGCATTCTATCTTCAGATATGACAATTTAATTGTTGAGCATAGTTTGGTCTATCAAGATTTGAAGCAATCTTCATCATCCACTAAGTCCTCCCAAAATACCGATGCCAACTTCCAAATTAGCTTTGCTCTTCTGCAAAGGAAGAAGAGGTGCTCTTATGTCTCTGGCCCTTCACCATAAAATTTACAAATTGGGTCGACCTGCAATCCTTTGGTTTTGATGTTGCTGAGTACATGAAGGATATTGTTGACTCCTCGCCAAAGAAAATGTTCGATTTTGGCTTTGATTTTCATCTTCCAGGTTCTTCTTCTAGCGTGCTTGATCTTTTGATGATTTTTACTTGATTCTGGTTGGTCCATTGCTCTCCACTTGTCCTCAATCAATAAAGAATAAAAACAAGCCACATAAAATTTACCATTGGAACTCCAGTCCAAGATTAATTTGTCTTTTTCATAGGGGTTCAGATCACCAATGCTCAAAATGGCTCTTGCTTCCCTCTCAGTGAAACTAATTTCAATCAATTTAGTATTCCTTCTTCTCCTTGAATCCTCTATTAGTTCAAATACCCAAATGATCTTCAAATCCTTATGCTTAATTATTTATAAATATAAAATATAATCACAATACAATAAATTTAGTTTTTCTTAAAAAAAAGTTGAATTATATATATGGAGTTGTAAATAATATATGTTTTAGATATATATAATTTAAACATAATTAAAAATATCATTTTTAATAAATTTAGTGAAAAAATTCGGACGCCATATTGAATTAGTTATCACTTTGTTAATTGTTGTGTATTCATTATACATAATTTCTTAATAAAAATATAAATAATTTTTATTTTTTATTGTATAAATATTAATATATTCAAGTACCCGTGTAGTACACGGGTGTCATATTAGTTTATTGTTATATCATCGCCTTTATATATTTGTTGCCGAATAGTTGAGCCTAAGTGGCAGCCTCGTGTGCTTCGTAGCTTATTTGTCATAAATCTGTGATTCGTATCGACAAATATACGAGTTTGGTTTTGACTATTAGGCATGAAAATTACCATAAACTTTTAGGTTTTCTTTATTCTTAGTTACCATATATCATTCTTACCTTTTGTTATTTAATTAATATATTAACTATCATGAATTAGTATTCCTTTTTATATATAAAACTTTATAAATTTTTTATTTGTATTTTATTTTTAATTTATAATATATTAAAATAATTATATTTTAACGATCTTCGATTTGACATCCATATTTCATATATAAAATATCAATAATTTCATCTATCTTTATAAGAAAATTAATTTTGTTATCAAATAATTTTATAAAATATCAAATAGAAATATAAATTATTTATATAAAAATAAAAAATAAAAATCTAATTCATCAATAAACCATAAAGTAATTAATTTAATCCATTTTTTTCGTAGATTTTAAATAAAATATGGAAATTAAGTATTACATAAAATAAATTATAATAAATATCATAAAATATTTTCTTGCTATTTAAAAATATTATAACTAAATGTTATTATATTATTTAAAATATAAAATATAAAGCGCTATCATAATTAAATATAATAAAATAATTTTGTGTTTCGTAAAATTTATAAAATAATACATTTCTACGTAAATTAATATTCTAAATTAAATTATATAAAAAAATAATAATAAACAAGACCAACTGTAATGCGCATGTACTTGGTATTATGATTGATATTATTAATGAGGTTGCTGGATTATTATTATGATCACCCTGTATTTTATGTGTTGGAATTGACCTCAATGTCAAGTCATTGTGGCGCTCGTAACTCCACCAAGAATAAGGCTTTCGAGTTGGATGGTCGATTGTTCGAACGGTCCCACAAGCGGACTAGGCAAAGGTTAAAGGGAAAACCTGGGGCCTAAATCCACCATGATTAAGGCCTTCGGGATGGATGGTCGCTTGTTTGAACGACCCTAGTATTGGGTTGGGCAAGTGTCGAGTTGCTAAATCCACCAAGACTAAGGCTTTCAAGCTGAATGGTCGTTTGTCCGAACGGTCCCACAAGCAGACCGGCAAAACATTAAAGAGCGACCCTAAGACCTAAATCCACCATGACTAAGGCCCTCGGGCTGGGTCGTCGCTTGTTTGAACGACCCTAGTGTTGGGTTGGACAAGTGCAGGGAGGTCGAAGAAGGCGATCGAGGCACTCGAGTAAATCCACCAAGAAAAATTAATTTGGATATCAAGAAATCGAAGCGTTAGGTCAAAGAAGCATAAAAACAAGGTCAACAAGGCAAAATCAAAGGCTTNCCAATGAAACCAAACAACTAGATCGGATCAACAAGGCAGCTCGAGTTGCGACCAAAGATCGACCTAAAGACAATAACTAGGCCGACGATGACCTTCTGAAAGGAGGAGTTAACACCAAGAGGTCGAGTCGGCTTCATGAGCATAGAAGAGTTTGGGAAGAAGATGTTCTACCTAATGAATGTTCTACCTGATGATGTGGACCGGTCTCACGACAAGACAAAAAGACATCTAAAAAGATTGGGTCGCCTGCACACAAGACAAAAAGATATCTAACAGGCTTCTAACAAGATTGGGTCGCCTGCACACCCGATAAAGCCTGACAGTCTGAGACATTGCAGGTGGTACGGACGGGCAGCTTGGGCAGCAGGGTCGACCCTTCTGACATACTTGAGGAGCAAGACACCACACCCCTGTATAAAGGGGAGTGGTAGAGTAGTTTTTAGTTTACATTCTCTACACACACTTTACATTCGAAATTACTATTCATTGTCTCATTCTTTTCACTAACTTAGGCATCAGAGACTCTTCGCGGGAAAATTCTCCTTCCAGTGTTGAGTTCTTGTAGGTTCCTAGGCCGTCTGATGTAGAAGAAGGCACTTCCAAGCGTACTAGTTCGAGTGTATTGACATTGTATTGTACATATCAGACAAAATATCGAAAAATATCAAGCAAAATGAAATCAATAAATGAAAAAAATAATTTATATATATATATATATAATAAAAAAGAAGTTAATCATTAACTTAAAACATAATGACTGAAACATTAAAACTTCCACTACAAGAAATATGAGTTTTACCAACGGAATAATCCGTTGGTAATGAAATTTCCCAACAGAATGCCAACGACTTACCGACAGATTTTCATTTCATTCCAGCGTCCACCTCCGCACACTGGAGCGGTACCTTCGGGCTGAACTGGATGATGTCATTCAACAGGAAGAGGCAGAAGAGAGCCGTTGTGATGACAAGCGAAGACCAGCGAATACTTTTTCCTACCGGGGCTGTACTACATGAGGATCGACGAAGTTGAGAGAAGAAAACCCTTCACCCTTATTGATTTCAAATGAAAAGAGGGAATAGACTTGTTGCTCCTCCATCAGGATAAATTGTTTACGGAAGTCATTTTTCTAGGCAAAAGCGAGTGACCAAAACCCGTAACGAAGCGAAGCGAAGTGAAGTTATAGAAGTCCAAAGCATTTCAATCGAGTGGATGAAGAATCCCTAACGGGTGATGATAAACCATTAAGGCAACCACCGGAGCCCAGGGGCAAGACTTACAAAAGCCACTGTCAACCACTATAATAAGAGCAATGGGATAGACGACAACGAGCGAATCTCTTTCTACAGACCCACCCACAAGGTAAGCCACCTCAGACCACTCTATTTAGAAGTAAACTTGGAAAACCATAGGGAATCTCCGGATCTATGCTTATTTCTTAACTTCGTATTTTGGTAACTATCATTGAGTCATGTTTGCTATATGGCTTGTTACTAAATTTTGCCAACAGAAAATACAATACGTTGGGAAAATTCCCAAAGGATTACCAATAAATTTGCAACGGAAATGCTTCATGAGATTGTCAATGGATTCCCAACGGAAAATGTAGTTGCTAAATCATTCCGTTGGCAAATTATTAACAGAAAGCCAACATATTAGTTACGAATATACTAATGGATTACCAACAAATTTTTCTCAACGGATTTCCAACGTAATTTTCTCAACGGATTACCAACAGATATTTTTTCAACGGATTACCATCGAAATTTTCCCAACGGATTACTAATGAAATTTTCCCAACGGATTGTCAACGGACTTTTCCCAACAGATTACCAACGGATTTTTCAGCAAAAAAAAAATAATAATAATAATAATATTGTTTATCCAACTTGGCTCACCTTGAGCCCATGGCCACCTTGAACCACACGGCTCACCATGACCCATGGCCATCCACCAATATAATCCTTAGTAATTTTCACAATTCTCCTGACAATAGGCCTTGAACTCAAGACCTCTTGCATGTTAAAGGGGTAACACCACCACTAGGCTATATGAATGTATGAGACTGAATTCTACAATTCTTATATATATATAACACCACCACTAGGCTATATATATATATATATATATATATTTACGAGAAAATAATTAGTAAATATATAAAAATTATATTCTATATTTAAATTCATAAATATTTCTATATATTATTCATGATCTAACCGTTCAATTATATTAGGTGTTTTTTTTAATGTCTATTTAAAAATAGTGACTATATATATTTGTATCTATAAATTTATGACATTATTAAATGAACTAGTACGAATCCCGTGCGACATACGGGTAAGAAATATGTATTAAAATTTATAAATTAAAAATACACATTAAATATTTATAAATTAAAAATATGGAATCAATGTGTAATACAATTTACCTATATTAATTTATTAAAATGTTATATGAAATTTAAATTTTAAAAAATTACATAAAATATGTCTATTTAAATCAGTACACAACCCGTATGGTGGACTAACTGATAATAAATTATATAATATTTATTTCAAAATAAGTGATATTTACAAAAAAAATATTTATAAATTCAATTACAATGTGATTCTATTAAAGAAATATTTTGGTAAAATTTTATCAAATATTTAAATATCTATTAAATAATAAGTATAATTATAAAACTTATATTGTTTAGTTAATTAAAATGAATTTATTTTTGTATAAACTATCCAAATAAAAATTTTTAAGTAGTTGAGTAATTTATTAAATTAAATAATTAACTATTTCATTTACGTTAAAGTTAGTATTGACTCATAAGTTATGAATAATTACTTATTTAACTTTTAAATTTGAAACTCAAATTTGGACTACACAGTAAATTTTCATTTATATATGTATGTACACAGACACACACACACACACACACACACACACACACACATATATATATATATATATATATATATATTCTCGCAATTTTATATATTTTTTGTCGGCCACCTTATCATTCAAATTTATTACCTCATTAAATAATGTTTACAAAATAAAAATATGGAATAATTATGTAATATAATTTACCTATATTAATTTATTGAAAATATTATATGTAATTTAAACTGTGCAAACTTACATAAATGTGTCTATTTAAATTAGTACACAACTCGTACAGTGCACTAACTGATAACAAATTATATTATATTCCCTTCAAAAGAAGTGTCATTATAAAATTTTTTATTCACAAATTAAAATAAATATTTTGGTAAAATTTTATCATATATCTAAATATCTTTATAAATAATAAGTACAATTATAAAATCATATATATGTATATATGATTTTTTAATATCATCTATCATCTATCATAATATTCAATACTCTAATTAAAAAACAATATCACAAAATTCAACGATAATACGGCCTAATTACTAATTTTACTTTTAAGCTTAACATATTTAACAATGTCATAAAATCATATATATATATATATATGATTTTTTTTAATTATTATGATATATAACAAATTCTAAAAATGAATGGAATGCATATGTGGCACATTTTTATTTTGAATTGATTTAAATATTATTAAATTAATTACATAACTAAATAATATTAATATAAATTAAATATTTATCATTATATATATATAAAGAATTTTACTTTTGTAAGTGTTATAAATAATAATAATAATGACATTATACGATTTTGAAAGAGTTTGTTGCTATTCTGTTGCTATTTACAACGGAATAATCCGTTGCTAATACAATATTGAATGCGTCTATTGCTATTCCGTTGCTATTTGCCAACGAAAAAATTCTGTTGTTGTTTACCAACGGAATAGTCCGTTGTTATTCTAATTTTGAAAGATTTTGTTGTTATTCTGTTGCTATTTGCCAACCGAAAAAATCCGTTGCTATTTACCAACGGAATAATCCGTTGCTAATACAATATTGAAGGTGTCCGTTGTTATTCCGTTGCTATTTGCCAATGGAAAAAATTCGTCGCTATTTACCAAGCAAATAGTCCGTTACTATTATAATTTTGAAAGAAATTGTTGCTATTCCGTTGCTATTTGCCAACGGAAAAAATCCGTTGCTATTTACCAACGGAATAATCCGTTGCTAATACAATATTGAAGGTGCCCGTTGCTATTGCCAACAGAAACAATCCGTTGCTATTTACCAACGAAATAATCCGTTGCTAATACAATTTTGAAAGAGTTTGTTGCTATTCTATTGGTATTTTGTTTGTATTTACTAACGGAATATTTCCGTCACTATTTGCCAACGGAATACAAAGATATACTTTTCATTGCTATATTTTGTTAGTATTCTATTGGTAATTCGTTTATAAAAATTGTATATATAATGCATTACTAATCCGTTGGTAACCCCAACGGAAAAATTTTTGTTGGTAATTTTTGTTGTCATTTTGACAATTTCTTGTAGTGTTCTAATCGATAGTTTTTACTATGGTGAAGTTAAAACTTGTTAAGCAGTTATTTATTCTTTTCTATTTGTAATATATAATTTATGTATAAAGTATATTTACTGTATTAATAATATTGTCATTTTTACCAACTGGTTGATAATAGATAACTAGACCATATAATTGCTGGTTGAATCACGAATAACCATGCATTTTGGCATTTTGCTGGCAAGAATAAGGACAATATCCATTATCTTAGGGTCCTACTTTAGTTTTTCGAGGATATTTTAAATTAAAATTGTAGTGCGTTTGGCTGATTGCCATGTTATGGTAGACAATAGTCTTCTGTTTAATAACTTCTGTTATGCACATATTTTGCAAATCAGAAAATATCAATCGACCCGATCGAAAATCGGATACATGTCTCATCCATCCTAAAAGACTGCTGTCACTCGTCACTTTGCATGCCGAAGAACCTTCAAGACCTGTCATGTATTCAATGACTCACCAAGCAAGCATTATGATTTACCTTTTTACCCAGAATAAATTGTATTAATGTAAACAACATTAACAACACGAAGAAACAAACGAAAAATTGCCTACAAACGACCACGAGCAAACCGTGAAAGCTTATAATAAAAACACTTATTAGATCAATGTTTTCATGTTCTTATTAGTTCCTCTCATTATTACATTCAAATTTCGTATTTTCACGTTGTTGATATCAACTATCAACAAATTGGCGCTAGAGAAAGGGGTCCTTCGATTACTAACACCCAGCATTGTCATTAAACTCATTCATTTCAGTTCAGTCGTCATTATGTTATCATTCTATATTTCTAGTGACAGTTATAACAACCACCCATAAAATCAAACCTCTCCTTTTACACATGTTAACCAAATTTTTACTAGTCCTATTCTTATCAAAAGGGATTATCGATCTCTTTGCGCAGATCATCCATAATGCGAAACCCAAAAATACAAACCCTCGTAAATCGACAAACCATCCCGGCCCTAACCAACTCATAAAGCTGTTATCCCTCAGCAGTCGACTTCTCATGAGGTCGACTTGTAAGAAAAATTGGTTTTGTATCGATTTAACCATTTCATTTTTGGTAAGTGGAAGACTAAGAAAAATCTCAAAACCGTTTTAAGGTGAATCAGAAATTAATTCTAAGGTGTATATGTGGAAAATGTAAGGTTGAAGCAATGAGTTTAAGTGACTCAAATTGTTGGATTCGTATAACATTTTGTCTTTGAAAAGTGTTAGGATAATCTAAACAAGACCTGATCATGCAGTTTGCATGTTAGAACTCTAGATGGGTTAGTTGGAGACAAGTAGGAAAAAATGGAACTCGATTCCGAGTCCGTATGAGCTCGTACGAGCCCGTGACATACGGGCGCACAGCTGGCTGCTGACACCGAAAGGTCGTAACCCTTGGTGACTATAAGGTGTCTTTTGGCCTAGGTATCAGAGTCGGTTCTATGTGAGACCGTGCGATGACGTACCCGTTTCTCAGCCCGTTTCTAGTAGGGCTTGGGCACCTGGCTCCGTTTATGTCCTTGGGCTTCTTATGAAGGACTCACAAGTAAAGGGGCGTATTAAAATATTCACTTGTGAGTTGTCCCACATCGTTTATACAGAAAAAATATACCCAACTTATAAGACTAATGGGCTACTCTTCCTTCCACCAATTGGTTTTGGAATGGAACTTCACTTGGGCTTCATTTGTGCTTTCCCTGCTTATGGTCGCTTCCCGTTTTTCCCCATTTCTTACAAACATATACATCAGATGGGATATACAATTATAATCTTGATTAGATTGGTGAACGTGACATGCTTATTTCAGAAACATTACCCTGTCCACCAATCTCTAATGACGACAAATTAGTCCGCTCTTGAAGTGATGTGTACTTTGGTCAATAATATTTGAAAATTTCTTCACGAGCAAAGCTGTGACCCCTCATAAGGCTTGAACTTGTTATACGCATTTATGAAAATAGTTCCAAATCTTTGACATTATGCGAGTACTACTAATTGTGCTATAGAGTGTTAATATGAAGGTTTGCGAGTCATATGTAATTATGTTCACTTTATTAATCTATATCAATATAGTCAAAAATTAAATTTATGAATAATTATAATATTGACGAGCAGAATACCAAATATTTGATGATATAGCCTTCTTGAAAAACGTTGAGATGCTTGATACAAAAATTATCAAAAATATCTAAACATTTGTAACTGAACCATTTTTTTTACTCAATCTTAACTCAAACTTTACTATGATCAATATTATCAATATAATTAAATAATATCAATCAATAATTCGTACACACCACATCAATTTTAATTCACTATTCATCAACTCACATAATTTTAACTAATCATCACTTCAAATAATCTTTCTCTTACTTTTATATAACATCAACTTTAATTATATTATTTTAAATATTATTATAATAGATTTACTAACAACTAACCATACCATCTTTTTTAAAATTCAGCAAACCAAACCAAAATAAAAAATCAAAACAACCACAAAATTTTGTATCCAAACAAAAGCAAATAAAAGTTATATTTGGATAACAATAATATTGTCAAATAATCATTTTTGTGGACTTTTGTGTCAAATCTAGTGATTTTATGCAAGTGTAGTCCATGGTGACATAGTGACATTTGTAGAATTTCGGACAAACTTTACATTTGTATATTTTTTGACCTCACACTTGGAGTTAGTTTAATGGCGCTATTTGATATTAATTTGACTAACTAATCTTAATGACGTAAAATTGGATAGTAATCATAATTATCATTTGGAAATTACGTTATGCATGACAATTGTTGATATCTGAGTTGGACCGACTAGAGGTTCTCGTTTCAATAACAAGGAACTGGAGGGAGACGACCTGGAAATCCGAACCGGTCTTCAAATGATTGATAAGTGTCGAATTGACCAAGAAGCACAGTCAACCAGACCCCCGTGTGGCACCATCTCCGAGATTGGCACTTAGCTTCCTAGGAGCGAGGCCGACCTCGTTAGGCGCCGAACAGGGAAATGGAATCTCGAAGCTTAGGGAGTGAATCAGTGAAGAGGATCCGACCTGAAGATTTCCCAAGGTTCGGCCCCTAGACACCTGGGGACCCAGAACTAATAAAATTTTGTCACTTGCCAGTTAATGATTGTCGATGGGACACGCCTCCATAGCCTGACACTCTAGAGCGTCTAGCCCGGCATAAAGGCATGTCAACATTAAATGCTCTACAGGAGAACATTTAATGTCTGACAGGTAATGATTAGAGAAACTTCAAGTCGCATTTAATATATGTCAGAGCGACGCCGACCTGTCCTGCATAACTATTGTACGACAAGACATGATGAACAGTGCATGAACAGTACCAGGTTGGAAATGCTATAAATAGGCAACCCATTTCATTTATAAGGATTGTTGATTTCCACACCTACTATTTATCTCTCTACATTTACTCCTGCTAATCTGTAATAATTTCCTGTGAATATTCCAAAGTGTAACAAAAGTACCAACCTCAATATCAGAGGCCGATCTTGTAATTAAGTAATAAAATAAACTTAGGCATTCTTCACGATTGGAAAATAGGCACGAAAGGCCCACCTCTCTTCAATTCCCTCTTCGAAATCCGACAAGTTTTGGTTAAAAAGGCGAGAAGTGAGCAGGGAGCGGAAGCCCTTCCTCACGGTTGGAGCTCTTGAGATAGACAAGACGGGTCTAGTAAATGCTACGACTTCCTGAGACCTAGAGAATCCATGAAGCCGTGGATCGGGGTTGTTTGGGAGACTTGCAATACTCCCAAGCACTCTTTCATCCTTTGGCTAGGGGTGCTCAATCGGCTCCGGACAAAAGACCGACTCGAATTTCTTGACGAAGACCTGATTTGCCCTCTATGCGGTGATGCGAACGAATCTTCGAGCCACCTGGCTTTTATTGTTCCTTTAGCTTGGAAATTTGGAGTGAGATTCGAGCATGGGTTAGCCTCCACCATAGGCCATTGACCTTTAAAGGTGCTCTCAAATGGACCAAGAAGGAGGCGAGAGGGGGGAGTTGGCGATCCAAGTTGAAGAAAGCGGCACTAGCGGCCACCGTGTATTTCATTTGGAACGCAAGGATTAGGTTGGTCTTCGAAAATGAATACCAACCCCCGAGCCTTGTGATCTGGAAGGTAAAAGCTCATGTATACAGCACTATCTCTGCTCTTTACCCTAATGTGCTTGTTGAGTTTGAGAGGCGGAGCCTCGGCCTTTGAGAGGGCCTTACCTTGTGTTTGGACTTTGAGAGTTGAGATAGATGGGTGGCCGATCGCCCGGGATGATGCGTTGATTAGGAACCGGCCGCTGGTTGTGATCTTTTTGGACCTAGCGCCGCTAACATAGGGCCTAGCACCGCTAGCCCGGAAGACTAACGCCGCTAGACCCAACATCCAGCGCGAGTTCTTTGAGCGTGCCATGTAAGCCACTGTGTGCACCGACGAGAAGACTACCGATCCAATGAGGTGTCGAGTTCCCTTGGGACCCTTTTTGCATTTTGTTTTCCGTGACTTTTGAGTGAGCAACCGACTTGTAGTTTCCCTCGTATATCATTATCTCGCGAATGAGGAATCGACTTGTGGTTACCCATTACGCTTTTGTATGTCTTTGACCGGTCATCTGAACCCAGTTTTGATCTATATATTTACATTTAATGATAAAAAAAAGTAATAAAATCCACTTAATCCGTAAATCTCATTTTCCTTGTCTTTCCCATCACTTTTTAACTCTTTATTAACTATTGACTGATTCCGATCATCAACAGTTTGGCGTTAGAAGGAGGGCCCATAATTTGCTTGGTGTCAATTTTCGATTATGTGGAACACCACTCTCAATTTCACCTCTTTCTCACTCTTTCTCCTCAAAACTCACCGAAAATGACTTCTTCCGAACACGACGAGTCAACTCACCAATCCGGAGATCAGTCCCGTCGTCGCGACAGCGAGAAACTTCACGTCGGCATCAACCGGGGCCTCAGGCCACAATCCCGCTTGTCCCGACCTTCGCGGCTGCAATGCAGCACCCTGATGTCCTCAAAGTCCTATAGGGCACCTTTGTCAAGGCGTTGGCAAGCCACACGGCCGGAGCGAACACCGTGGCCGCAACAAAAAATCTCGACAACACGTTACTCTAAACCCCCGAAAAGAATACCGGAAGGAAAGGAAAAGGGACGACCCAGTCCAAGACCACGGCGCAATCCCCCAGAGGGAGGCCCAAAATTGTCGGGAGAAAACCACCGGCCCGGCGCGGACCGAGCAGACAGGCGAGAGTCGCCCAGAATCGAGCCAGCAAGTCATTCGTCGGCCCGTCCACCAACGCCTAGGCGAGGAAAGCCAAGGAAATCGTGACCTGATGGAGTTCATGGAGCGAGGGAAAGCTATCGGGCGAGAGACCGACGAGGTCGCGACCCTTAAACGAAAAATCGCCGAGCTGCAAGCTCGGCCCGCGTCGTGTGGGGGACCGTCGCCGCTCCCACCATTGAGGTCGGGTGCATGGGCTAAGGAACACGCTTCCCCCTCTTTCCTGATATCCTCCAGGAGCACGTACCCAAAAAACTCGCATTGTGTCCAATTTTACATTGTATGTGAATATAAATGGACTTAAGTCATGAATGACATGGACAAGTCCAAGTAAAATAAAAACCCAAAAATCTCTATTCAGTGCAAAAATGAGATATTAGGTCTTGAATACTTGTCAACCAATAAAAATACTCTACGAGCATTCATAATGCTTTGTGTTCATTCTAAAAGATATACAGACCACTTAGAAAATAGACTCAATCTAAAAAATATATACTCCAATGCAATTATAACTAGACTTTGTCCTGCTTATGTTGCAACTAGAAAAAGAGACCCGACTATTCTTAAATTTATTTTAGACTCAAGTAGAAATCTTTTTACATTGGAATTAATTTTATTAGTTTTATATATTTTTGCTTATGTCATCCAACCCTAAAATTTATTGAAAAATGCTATAGGTACATAATATTGTAAGAATGAACATAACACCCACAATGAGTGGAACATACCAAAAATAAAAAATCAAGTAGACCCCATCTCAGTGTTATGTACACTTCTATGTACATTTATTATATACTTGTTGCATTTTTTAAATTTATTTAATGTCACGTCAGCATGGTTAATTTTTACTTTACCGGAAAGTTGTGGTTGAGGAACAAAAAAAGAAATTTTATCATGACCCTGGGATTCGCTGACCAATAGTCAATGTACCAATCAACTATCTCCAAGTCCCGACCACATAAACGGACAAGATTGCTTCTCAATTCCCATCCCACGGCGGACATTTGCTATTACAGACCTTTCCAAGGGGACAACGTAACCCGCGTTGAGTTAAAACTAACCGTAGTTAAGGTCATACCTTCAGTCACTGTAGGGATTAAATTGAACCAGAACATTCCAAGAAGGAGAGAAAAAATAAAAAGAAAGTNAATTATAAATAAAATAAATAAATATAAAAGTCTACTGATAATCTGATTATATAAATTGAACCTTGACACTGATAATCTGAATTGTTTATAAATCTACCCACAGATATCCACACGATAAAGTTTCACACTTGAAGCACAGAGCTGATACTCCGATCAAATCCTAGCCGTCAACCAGATTTCAACCATCTGGTTGGCTTGTCCCCTTGTTCCGACTGTCGGGTTACTCGAACTTCCAACGTTTTGCATCGGCGGTCGTTTTACAGTAACCGGTAGCCCGGGGAAGAAAGGAAGCGAAGGTCCTCAGATTTTTCGTTTTGGTGAGTAGATTTGCAGCGTTGATCACTTATTAGCTTCACCTTTTGAAACTATTGCGTCGAAAAAGTTTCTCGTTTTCTCAATCTTATTTTCTTTTTGTATCTGTGGAAACGAGTGAGTTCTACTTCTATATATTGCCTTTGAGCCATTTTCTTGTTTTTGTGTGTGCGTAGGATTAAGTTTCTTAGTTAATAGTATTATACTGAGAAGCTGTTGATTAAATGCGTGAAAGGAAAGAGTGTGCAATTGACGAATGTGCAAAATCAAGATCTAGCAGATTACGGGTGTGTTTCGCGTATTAGCTGATCAGTCACAGTTTTATTTCAAGATTTTAATGTTTGCCTAACATGGGCTATATAATGCTTGCTTAGGGGCAACTTCTTTCTGCCTAAACTCCTTCCTTGATCAGATTAGTTGGATTTCTTTTGTTCCCATGACCTGATAAGCAGGCTATTATATGAAATTCCTATTATATGGTGTGCTATGGCTATTTGTTTTGTTTTGTTACTTGATCAAATCCCACACGCATCGCTGGTGATGGTTTTTTCTTCTTTTTCCTTCACCTTTCCAGTTTTGTTGACCAACTCCTTCTGGTGTTTTTCAGATTCTTTTGTAAGGAATCACTCATATTGTGTAATGCCTCATCAGGTGTGCTGATTGCCCAGATCACTCGCTCATCTTACTTCCGTGTTCGAATTGTGCTCTGATGTAGTTTTGTGTGCGACATCAATCTAGATCTGGTTTCCCAATTGATGATAATTTTTGTTGCCCATATAATTATTATTCTCTCCCTTTCATCTCTCTTAACCTGAACAGCCCTGTTCATCCCCAGATGGCCGTGGCAGCTTTCAAGGCTCCGCTTACAGCTGGCGAGTGCCCAACAGAAGGCAAGCCAACCTGCTGGAGGCGTGTTTTCGTGCAGACAGACAACGGCAGCGTGCTCGGAATGGAGCTCGACAGGTGCGACAACGTGCGCACCGTAAAAAAACGGCTCCAGCTCGCCCTAAACATCCCCATCGACGAAAGCTCCTTAACATTCGGCGACACAGTCCTCAAAAACGACCTCAGCTCCGTCCAAAACGACTCCCCTCTCCTCCTCACCCGCAATCTCATCCACCGAAGCTCCTCAACCCCTTGCCTCTCCCCCACCGGCCGTGACGCACACAAAACCGACCCAAGTGGGCCCATCGAGATTCTGGGCCGCTCGGCCCAAACAATACCTCTCGTCAAAGAGGTCGTGAAAGGTATGAAAAACGGGGTTGATCCCGTGCCCATCAATGGCGGCCTCGGTGGCGCGTACTACTTTAAAAACGTCTGGGGAGAGAATGTCGCCATTGTGAAGCCCACTGACGAGGAGCCGTTCGCGCCCAACAACCCAAAAGGGTTCGTGGGCCGAGCGCTCGGCAGGCCGGGCCTCAAGCGCTCGGTTCGAGTCGGCGAGACGGGTTTTCGAGAGGTCGCAGCTTATCTCCTTGACCATGGAAGCTTCGCTGGCGTGCCCCCGACTGCTCTCGTCAAAATCACCCACTCTGTCTTTAATGTCAACTGCTGTACAGGTGTGGCCGAGCCCGAGTCCGAGCCCATGAGCAAGATCGCGTCCTTCCAGGCATACGTTAGGCACGATTTCGACGCTGGGGATTACGGGACGTCGAGCTTCCCCGTGGCTGCGGTGCACAGGATCGGGATTCTGGACGTGCGGATTCTTAACACGGACCGGCATGCGGGGAATCTCCTTGTCCGGAAGGATAGGGGTTTTGGTGGGGTAGAGCTGATCCCAATCGACCATGGCCTTTGCCTGCCCGAGAGTCTTGAGGACCCGTATTTTGAGTGGGTACACTGGCCACAGGCTTCGATTCCGTTCTCGGACGATGAGCTCGATTATATAAAAAATCTCGACCCTGTCCGGGACTTGGAGATGCTGAGGAGCGAGCTCCCTATGATTCGGGAGGCTTGCTTGCGAGTTCTGTTCCTCTGCACGAGTTTTTTGAAGGAGGCAGCGGATTACGGGCTTTGTCTTGCCGAGATTGGTGAGATGATGAGTCGGGAGATTCGCGGTGGGGAGGAAGGGCCGAGCGAGCTTGAAATTATATGCATGGAGGCGCGAAGGCTTGTTGCCTTGGAGATTTTTTCGCCGAGAGTTGAGGTGTTATGTGATGGAACTCTGTTTGATTTGGACTGCGAGGATGGGAAAGGTGGCGATTATGTATTTTCGCCGATATTGGGTTGTGAAGAGATTGTGGCAGTTGCGCCATTCCATTGTTCTCAACTTTCTAAGCTCGACGAATGTGTTGGGGACGAGGGTGATGAAGAAAGTGAAGGAGACGATGGGAAGGGTTTAGTCGGCGTATCGAGTTTTCCGAATGGAAGTCGAAATATTTTGAACCCTAGCTTAGGTGAAAAATATAGTAATTTGTCGAAAATTACTTGGGCCAAACGGGATTATGGTTCTGTTGTTAATGGTTCATTGTCTTACGGGCATAGGAGTGCGAACGAGCAGCTTCCGGCTAGTGAAAGCTTCGTGAAGTTGGCGGACATGAACGAGGATGAGTGGCAGCTGTTTTTGGACAAGTTTCAGGAACTTCTTCTCTCTGCATTTGCCAAAGGCAAGTCTGTTATGTCTGGTCAGAAGCAGAGACAGAGGCTCGGAACTTCGTGCCGGTTTTGAGGGTTTAATCTGCCGTATGTCGGTCGCATGTCGTGCGGAATAGGAAGAATAGGTTTGGTTTCAGTGCTTTTTCGCCTGTTGTGTGTTCGGCAAAAGTAAAAGTAAGAGAGTTGGTATGTAGATATTCGTTTGAGGCTCAGCTGAAGGAGACGGTTGAGTGTAAGTGGATGTAATTTTCTTTACTTACTTACTTACCTCTTTGTTTGGTTATAGAGTGATAGTTACTTGTTAGACAAATAATTTGTATAGTAAACTCCTTGAAAAGAAAATGGATCTCTTACCTTCTTACATATTGCGTTTTTTTGTCTTCNTATTGCTTACATTTACGTACAACATTTCATAACCCTTTATTGAATTAATCGTCGAAGGTTTTACCTCGGAAACGTTCTCAGCGTGTTTTGCAGGTCTCCAGAGATCAAATCAGTTGAAAAGGACAAAGGAAGGCCGGTTCGAAGTACAATAGCATATCAAAAAATATAGTATTTAGAGTTTATGTGCCCAAAAAAAAATATATTATAATTATTTATTGAGAAACAATGGTTACAATAATCCAAAAGGAAAAAAAAAAAAATGACTTGACACACCCCTCTCTTAACTTTAAATACATAAGCAAAATGACAGAAACAGATAATTAACAATCCATTCAAACTTCTTCTAGAGTCTAACGTAACCCCACTCAATTGCATAGCTTGTAAATTACCAAAATACACCCAACTAAAGTCATAATAAATCATTTTTCCTTTTAGCTAGTTTAATTATCACACATGCCTCCATGGCCTCTCAGCAAGATTAACACACACTTCATGTCTGAAACAGTCAACGAGATGGTCAATGGTCATTCCAGCCGCCTGCATGAAAGAGTACACAATGACGGGCCCCACAAACCTGAACCCGCGCCTCACCAGATCCTTGCTCACCACCTCTGCCTTTGAACTCCTCAATGGAACATTTCTTGGATGTTTGAATTTGTTGATCACTGGTTTGTAACTCACATATTCCCACATGTAATTGCTGAATGATCCATATTCCTCACCCACCTAACACACTCATTATGTATCAAATTAAAAATACTAGTATTATTATTATTATTATTATTATTATTATGTTTCTCTTTGGTGTAGGTGATATTTATGAAAATATTGCAGATATTTAGTGCCTATAATTCATAACTTAATTACAAATTTAAGCCTCTAATTATTTATTAGTAGGGACTTGCCTTAGTTATGCATTTTGCATTGTCCACAATGCAGAGAACTCTGCTTTCTGCTAAACTTAGTTCTTTGTTGGAGGATATATCACTTATTTCTTTCTCACCCATTCTGCTCACAATCTTGGGATCAAAACCCGCAAATGCCTCTCTGTTAAATTATAGATTATATTAAAAGATTAGAATGTGAGATAATTTATGTAGTAGGAAATGTGAGATTAGAAATCTGATACCTGAGGAGTTGTCTCCTTTTGATGATTTCAGTCCAGTTGAAATCCATAAGCATCCCACACATAGCTAGCAGCTCAAAAAGCCGACTACACATATATTTACATGTTTTCGGTTTTTTCAGATATTATTATTGTACACAAAACTATAATTAGTCAATAAATATGCAACTTTAGGAATGAATTTGAATCTACAATGAAAATTAACTCACTTGTCATCATAAACTGGAACTCCCCAGCATTCGTCGTGAAATTGTACGTACACTTTATCTGTAACCATCCGGTTTCAAATTGATTTAACAAAACAAATTCAGAAAAAAAAAATAATAAATAAAAAAAAAAACTGAAATAATGTAAACACCCAAGGCTAGGTAGATTCATGTTATGAACAAAGAAAAAAGTAAACAATATGAACGAATCTTCATTGGTGTTAGTAACAACCACTTTCCAAGGAAATTATCAAAATAAATAAATGTTAAGATAGTCTCAAGTTTACCAACATTAACTAAAAAGGATTCTAATAAGGGTCATGAAATTAGGTAACTAAAAGAATTCAGCAATGGTTGCAAATTTTGTGAAAGCAAAAGTTTTTTAATAATAAAAAAAAAAAGAATAATAAAAAGATGGATGCAGCTTTTATGATGGTAGTAAGTAGTAACCATATGGTTTTTTATCTAACATAAAAAAAGAGTCAAATTAGAAGCCTTAAGGATATTGATAAGCTTACAGCACATTATCTTGAAAATAAGCTTTTTGTTAAAGAAATTACCAGACTCTTTTCAGGAATTCAAACACTCTGTAGATGAAAAGCAAACATGATGTGCATGAATATTAATAACATAGTACTAACAAATTAAAAATCATGGCTTATAGCTTACTGACCACTGTTTTTGGTAATCCAGTTGCACCTTCTTGGTCCTTCTTCAGTAGGACTAATATCCAAAACAGAATTCTCCACGATTTTGCTAGTGAGGGCTTCTTTTTTCCTGATGGGAGCTATTAAACGAAGGGCAAACGAGATTTTCTGATCGAGCGATGTAGAATTGTCGGTTAATGAAGAGTCGGTCGAGTTTTGCGACAAAGATAAAGACAGAGAAGATAACGAAAGAGTCGAGCATGCTCTTGGTAGTCCAAGGGGATGGATTTTTTTCAGGTTTTTGGAAAATAAATTGAAGTTTGTGTTTTGCTTCTTCTCCTTTTCACTGGAATCACTGTGTTTGCTGTTTTCCAATGCCTGTTTTCTAATATAGTGTAATTTAGACATGTTTGGATATAAGTTAAGGAAAAAGGATTATTTTTTTTTTTTTCTAGGACTAAGATTGTGTCTTTAATTTGGACCCATTTGGGAGTTTTTATAAGGTGGAAGGTTCTAAAAGAGATTATGTGTCAACTGGTTTGGTTGGGAAAGAAATGTGGTATTTCAACATCATGGGAATTTTTGTGTTTGTACTTAGTTGTGAAGCAAAAGTAGTAATTAAAGGTATGATGGACTTGTAATATAGTTGTGGAAAAAGGACTGCCCAATTTTCATGAATTATCTATTCTCCAAACAGCAAAAGATTCTTATTCTGGAAATTTTATGTGACATGAGGTTTTTATTATGCTATCTGAGAAGCTCCAATAGGTTTAGCTGCCAATATACATAATTCCAAATTATATACATTCAAGAATTATTCTACTTATAGTGCTTAATTTAAATATTTATTACGCCAAGCCCCACCCAATGTCATTATATATATAAAATATATCATGATTTATATTCACTTCAAGACTTTGTTCACATACCCGTATTGATGGACCAGTGATTAATATAAAAAGAGAAATTAAAATAAATATTAGCGAAAACATTATTCCCAAAGTAAGACATTTGAGACTATTAATAATAGGCCATGAATGAGTAAATAAATCCACCTGTTACATATTGAACACTGCAACCTGTTCTAATTTTTTCTTTTAGCGTCACTTAATTATATGTATTATAAAATAACTATGATCATGGATGAACTTTCAAATCATCAGTTTTCCTTTTCCACGAAGTGATTAGAAAAGTATGGTATCACTATCCAAGAAATAAAATCAAATATATATATGGTTCAACAAAAATCAGACAGGTAATAAGAAATTAAACTATATAATATCATGTTATTTTTAATATGATGGTATTTTATAAAGTAAAAAATTGTTCAGCTATCAGTACAAGCACGTCCATTAGTCACATGCCAAGATTTTTTAATATTTTAATCACACGCTGAAAGATATTTGTATTTTGGCATTAGTTCGATAGTTCGAACAAGCACCTGGAACCACAGAATAAAAAGGGAAGATCTTTACATACTATATTTCCTTGAGTAATATTGTGTTATATTCCATATGAAAGTCCATGTATATCTTATTACGATTTTTATATAGGTAAGTGCACGTGGAGAGATAAAGAAGAAGGAGAAAAGAGACATGCTAGGAGAGGAGATCAATGAGAGAGAATAAAAGATTTTCTTGCCATAGTTATCCTATTATCTTGGAAGGAAATCTTGAAAGAAGACCTATGCCTTGTAGAAGACTCTAACCCTAAGGAGATCATATATACCCTAGAAGAAGCTTATGGCGGCCGTGGATTTTCGATACTGAGAAATATTCGAGCGCCATTCAAGCTTCATTTGGTTTTCGGTTCTATTTTGATTGTATTCAGTTCAGTCTAAGAGTTCTTACAAACTCAAGGACTAGTACTGCTTTCGTTTTGTTCCTTAGTCATTTCATCAAAACTATTTCACAATTTGTACACTTAGGGAATAAGTGTAGGTGTTTAAGTCCACGGGACGTGGCCGGAGGATTAGTTGATAGGATCAAGTAGTGTTGGCTAGATTTGAAGGGAGTTCGAATCTTTGTAAGTCCAAACTATGTGTACGAGTGATCTATCAATGAAAGAGCTCTGAGGGGAAGTGGGACGCTTCCCTGAAGAGTTTGTAAATCTTCGGTTGTTTGCTTCCGCATTTTACAATTCTTATTATTGTTCTTACTATAACTCGCGCACTCCGTGACAAATATACGTTTCAATTGGCACCAGAGCAGTGTTCCTGTTCTTACTACGGGATAAAGATCTTTGGGACTGTGTGTTGGTCACCATGAGTCACGATGGAATGTCTGTTTCGCGCCCTCCGTTCCTTGATGGAGCAAACTATGCTTATTGGAAATCCATGATGGTAATTTTTCTTCGTTCCCTTGGCAAAGGCACGTGGCAGGCCGTTGAATCAGGATGGTCGACACCACTTATGCCAAAAGCTCCCGCTGAATTTAAACAAGGTGAACCTTCGGATGCAAAGTCGTCTATGTCTTCCACTCAAGTTCTTGTTGAAAAACCAAGGAGTCTTTGGACTGACGATGAAAAACAAGCGGAAGAAGCGAACTTTCGTGCTTTGTATGCCATCATGTCTGCAGTAGACCCAACGCGTCATAAGATAATCATTCAATGCACCACCGCTCAAGAAGCCTGGAGGATTTTAGAAAGACAATTTGAGGGTACAAATGCCGTGAAAACCTCAAAGCTTCAAAGAGTCTCCACCGAGTTAGATGAGATTCGTATGAGGGAGGATGAAACTATTGATATGTACTATGCTCGGTTCTGCGACCTAGTCAATCAAAGTGCAATGCTTGGTGAACCGGTTCCAGAGTCTAGACAAGTACAAAAATTAATGAGAACTTTGCCGGATAGGTTTGGAATCAAGATCACAGCACTTGAGAGCTTCCAGAGGATTCAGAAACTTGGCATTGACGATCTCCTCAGTGAACTTCGCACCTTCGAAATCAATCATGGTTTTGACTCTATGAGGATAAGCAAAGGGAAAGGCTTGGCGTTGAAGGCCAAGGTTCGCACCTCAGTAGCTGAAGATGAAGAATCTGATGAGGAATCCTTTGATCCTGATGAAATCACCAAGGCACTTACTGTACTCTCAAGAAATGTCTCGAAACTGAAGAAATTTCAAAGAAAAAAGTTTCAGGGTAATAGGTCAATTGATGGTGGTAGGAACCAAATTCAGCAATTCGGAGAAAAGCGTTCTGGTTTGCAGCTGAACAAAGTTCAGAACTCTAATCAAGGAGTAGAGAAGGATCAGTGCCGTGAATGCAAAGGCTTTGGACATTTCCAAAAAGAATGCCCTAATTTCAAGAAGAAGAACAAGACATTCAAGGCTACGTGGTCTGATTCCAGTGACGATGAGGACAAAGAACCTGAGACAACTGAGAATTCTATCTACTCATACAACTCTGCTAAATGTCTTCTTAATGAATATAACTGCTTTACTTCCTCTGTCCACCTAACTGACATTGAATCTGATGCAGGTTCTTATGCAAAAAATTTGAGCGAAGTGGATTCTGATGAGTTCTCGGACCCAGCTGCCGAGAATCTTGTGCTTCACAAGTACGCCATTGAAAAGTGTCTCAAGGCAAGAGACATCATCAATAAGTACCATGCACAAAAACAGAAGATGAAGGTTATGGAACAACGATCTGGTGAGCGAGAAAAAGAGATTGTTTATCTTCGGGACGAGCTTCAAAAGATGAGAATGATGACAGTCGATTTGAACGAGAAGCTTATTAAAGCGGATCTCCATACCGCAAAGCAGGATAAGGATTTAAATAGTTGTTTTGCAAAACTTGCCTTGGTTGAACATGGGGATAAACTCAACAAGCAGGCAAGTGACGAGCTGAATTTTATTATTGAAAACTTACGTAACGAGTTGTTTGCTTTGCAAAATGTTGCAGGTGAGAGAGAAACTGAGATAGCCGTGCTCAAGGAGGAACTCGGGCAGTTAATGGAGAAACACATGACACTTAGAAGTCATTGCTCTACTCTTGAAGAGAAGTTGGGTAAAAGCGAGGAAGTCGTCAAGATGATCAATAAACCCAAGACCTCATATGCAGAAGTTCAAAGACTAAGTCAACAGATTGGTTCATCCGACTCGAGTAAGAACCTCCATAATCAGAAACTGAAAGGGAAGGTCGGAGAATCAGACACCCCACTAAGGAAGCCAGGTCTGACTTTTGTTAAAGAGGGGTACTCACTTGACTCCAAAAAGGGTAAGCCAAACTCCCCAAAAGCATCTCACAAAGATTCAGGTAAGAACTTTGTACCCGTTTGTCACTACTGTGGGATTCGAGGTCACATCCGACCCAAGTGCTACAGAATGCACAATGATATTTATACGGGTCAAATTAATGACTGGAGTCCTCACGGTGTTCCCTTGAAAGCACCTAAACTCAAAATTGATATAGTGAATCATGAACAGAAAAAGATCTGGGTTCCAAAGGTAAATAAGAACGTCTGTCTGTCTTTTATATTTGCCTTAAAATCCACTTCCAATTCTGACTGGTACTTTGATAGTGGCTGCTCTCGTCACATGACAGGGATAAAATCCAACTTGGTTGATATTGTGCCTGTTTCATCTAGTTCAGTAACTTTTGGTGATGGAGCTAAGAACAAGGTTCTTGGAGTAGGATGTCTGAATGTTCCTGGTCTGCCTAAACTAAAAAATGTTCTTTTGGTTCAAAACTTGAAGGCAAATCTTCTGAGTATTAGTCAATTGTGTGATCAGGGTCTGTATGTGAACTTTACTAAAACTCAGTGTCGTGTGTCTGATCAAGAAAACAAACATGTTCTTACTGGTACTAGATCTAGGGATAATTGTTATCTAGTGGAATTTGATTTGAAGTGTAATAAAACTAGTACTGATATGACTGAACTATGGCATCAAAAGTTGGGGCACATTAATTATCCTCACTTACTTGAACTTTCTTCTACAGGGGCTGTTCGAGGATTGCCCAAGCTGAAAAGGGAAATACCACGGGTGTGTGGATCTTGTCAAATGGGCAAACAGAAAAGGGCGTCTCACAAAAAGTTGACTGAAATCAGTACGAACCAGATAATGGAACTGATTCACATGGACTTGATGGGACCGATTCAAGTCGAAAGCTACAGTGGTAAGAAGTATATTCTTGTGTGTGTGGATGATTACTCCAGATTCTCTTGGGTTGATTTCTTAAAAGATAAATCTGATGCTCTTGATGCTTTTAAAAGACTTGTGCTGAAACTTGAGAATGAAAAACGAACCAATCTTGTTGCCATTAGAAGCGATCACGGTAAGGAGTTCGAGAACCGTGGTTTTGAACTCTTTTGTGAATCTCGTGGGATTTTTCATCAGTTTTCATCTCCAATCACTCCACAGCAGAATGGAGTCGTGGAGCGTAAGAATAGAACTCTTCAGGAAATGGCGAGAGTGATGCTTGTTTTCCAGAATATGTCCTTGAGATGGTGGGCCGAG